ATAATAATAATAATAATAATAATAATAATAATGGGAAGGAGAAGTCAGGCCCATTCAGACCTACCAAACTTCTCCCCATCACACCCTCTTTAAGTTGCAGAGAACACCCTTCCGTCTTCAGTGTTGGCAACTTGAGAACTAGGGTCATGTAAGAAGGAGGGGGGGGGAAGCAAGACCTGGCTTTGAGACTAAGAGGTCCCGGTCACACGAGCAGGATACTGCGCCGCTGAAGGGAGGCAAATTAGAACCGGAGCAAAAAGAACCACGGTAGCGTGATCCGACGTGCCCCTGTGGCTCCGTGCTCCGGCCTTTGGCAGGCGATCAGACGTCGTGTGGCAAAACGGACGTCGCGCGTTCGTGCGTATGTGTGGAACGGGGAATGGCACTGGCTGCGACAGGCTACGACAGCGCTTCCCCTATCAGACGCCTGGAGTTGCCGCGCGTCATCCGGAAGGTAGTGCTCTGTTGCGTGTTTTTGAGCCAAAGGGATGGATTGGGGATGGGTGCGTGACGCTTCCCAGATGTTGAGGTATGATCACGCCCGTTTGATGCGCCCTCAACCCGTCCGTTTCGCGGGGCAAATCCTCCCGTGTGACCGGGGCCAGAGAAGGCAGGAGCAGAGGGAGGGAAGTAGGAAGGGGATTATTTAAGGATTGCTGGTAGTAAGAAAAATGGTTACCATTCCCCTCTCCTCCTCTTACAGCCGCAGAGACCTGAGCTTGGAGCGCGGAGGAGACATCAGCTTCAAGTGAGTCACTAATGTCCTGACCTCCCTTCCTTCATCCATCCACTCTTAGGCAGGCTTTCGGCCTAATGTAGCCGCCTTTTACTTTTGACAGCGTTCAAGTACCTTTTAACCGTTACGTGAGGTGGATGTTCAACAGGGACAGTTTCTCCTGTCCCATTGTCTTTCATGACAGAGAGAGCCACCTTGTAGATATCTGTTACGGGCACAGGACCTCCGCCAGACACATCATGTCCTCTGGATGACCTTTCAATTCGGCATTGCTGGCTATACCATCACTTGCCTTCACCACACAGGATGCTGAAAGAGCAGGAAAAGCGCTGAGCTTTTATCATGTCTTTCCAAAAGGAGATGACTTAATCCATGTGAAGGGTTGGATGGGCATCAGTGATTTGTTCGGGAAGAAAGAAAGGACGTTATATTTATTTTTCACTTTCCGATGGTTCTTGCCCTAGCGCCAAGAAAAAGGTACAGAAATAAGATTGCCAACAGACTAGGAAAATCAATCTGGCCTGCTTCCTGTGCCTTTAAGACTAGTTTGATTTACACAAATCAGCAGATGGTGGCAATGCCTGTACATTACCACTGTTAAACGCACAAGAGTATGGGGTGGTTGGGAAGCTGGCACCTTTATATGCCAATGTTTGGCATTAGCATTGAAAGAATCATATAAGGAAATCAGAGAAGAAAGCAGGAAGAGGGTTTTTTTTAAAAAAATGCATCATCTCCCACCGATTTCTGCTTTTTTAGCTCCTCGTTCTAATTAATCTTGTTCTAGATTAATTAGCTGCGAGCCTGCTCCATTTTTCAAAATTTTAATCCCAAAACAGAGACTTGTTCGTGTGATTAATTAATTCAAAATAAGAGGTGCGACCTCGTGAACAGCCCCAGAGGTAGTCAGATGTCGCCATGCCAGCTCAGAAGGAGACTAAATATAGAGTTTAGATTACCTCTGAGTTTAAGCACTCTTCCACCACTGATTCTTTTTGGACTGGTCCCTGCTCACAGTGCCGGCATCATGGGGCTGGCTGGGCCTCCTTAAGACCGTTGCCTGAGCCCCAACACCACACAAAGGTTCGTTGTCCAGCCCTGATTCCACCACCACCTCTGCTTTTCACTGCCACTGCCTGCACATCTGGTTCCTTTTCAGGTATGGGTGTGCATACAGAGGTGAGGAGGAGGTACCATCACACTCATGGGCAGGGGGGCAGGGTAGTGCGCGGAGGGAAGGGAAGCCCCCTAGCGGGAGACTTCCCAAGAGTCCTCAAAAACCTGCAGCCAGCCCTGCCTGTTTATATGATTGGTTGCACTTTGCTGCTCTTCTCGAGTTTCTCGGCAGCGTATACTTTCTTCTAGGAACCGTGAGCTATACTTTGGTCCAGTGATTTTCAATTTTTTTTTTTAAAGCCCTGCATTTTTACAAAAAAAGCTATGCCTCCTTTTACACATATACAACTGATAAGTTTGCTGGTGTGTGAAGGAAAGCGGGCAGAGGGACTGCTGCTTCTCTCAATAGCTTTTGGACAGAAGCCTGGTCCTTCTGTCAACTTAAGCTGAGCCCGGGACAATTTTGGCTCAACTTAAGTTGCTGCCTAGTTTGGTGTGGTGGTTAAGAGCAGCGGACTCTAATCTAGAGAACCGGGTTTGATTCCCCACTCCTCCACATGAAGCCAGCTGGGTGACCCTGGGCCAGTCACAGTTCTCTCAGAGCTGTTTCTCTCAAGGGCAGTCCTCTCAGAGCTCTCTCAGCCCCACCTACCTCACAGGGTGCCTGTTGTGGGGAGAGGAAGGGAAGGTGATTGTAAGCTGCTCTGAGTGAAGGGCGGGGTATAAATCCAACTCCTCCTCCTCCTAATTCTAACTCTTCTTCTAATTCTTCTTCTTCCCCAAAAATTGTCCCCCCCCCAAAAAAAAACCCCAAAATCTTGTAGTCCGTGGGATGGGGAGGATTGTAGTCTTCCTTCAAGGATTTTCCCAGTGTCTCTTACCCATACTCTATCAGTGAGAAGAAAATGGTGGGTAAGAAGTGCCTGATCCAGACCATGTTGCTAGGGTTGCCAACAGGCCTGGAGAAGAATGTCCTGTTCCTTTCATAGAGGCTTAATAGGATGTTGTTTGCCAGATGATGTTATTGACCTCCATACCATGACAAGCTTCAATTGCCTGTTTTCACACATCAAGGGACAGGACATTTTTTTCCTCTTGGCCAGTTGGCATCCCTACTTGTTGTCCAGAGGTTCAGCTGTATTCTTCCCTTGCGGGCTTTTCAGAGTAAGTTTGTGCCTCTTGGATTCCGCTGCTCCAAGTAACTGCCTGGACTGACTATTAAGTAGGGCTTTCCCTGGCAAGGTTGAGCTGCTGGGAATAAGCTACGGTTCCTAAGCAACCCTCGAAAGTTCTACTCGGCCTCAGCAAAGTAGCTGGGCCCAAACTGGTGCAGCCATCAAGAAAAGATGGCTGGCTAAATGCGCTGCCGTCTTAGGACAACCCCCCCAAAAGTAAACTAGGCCTTTATTTCCCCCCTCTAAGGGGCAAAGTCTATCCAACTGCCCAGCTTTTCTCCACCGTCCAGTGGGCACGTAAAAGTCACCCTGAGTAGTTTGGTATTTGTGAGGCGGGAGGCGGGAGCCGATAGGATGGCCGGAGAGCCTGGCTACGCATTATTGCTTGACAAGAGAGCCCCGTCACATAAGAGCTGTGCCGCCGGGGGTGGGGGTGGGTGGAGGGAAGCAGCAGGGACTGGGACAGAAGCCAGGCATGTCCCAACAGGGACAGAATCCAGGCATGGCGGGGGGAAGGAGCTGCCATTTCAGCATTCCTTGTTTATCTCTTTCTTCTTGGAGGCTGATTTTCCTGAGCCGTGAGGAGGGAGAGGTGTAGGAAAAATTAGCGGCACAGAAGAGTGAGATTAACCCAGGGATGCCAAAGGCCAGCCAGCAGCTCCTCTTTCTCAGGGAATTGGGTCCAGCCAGCTTTTTTTGCTCAGATCTTTCTTTGTGTCCCTCTTTTGTTAGTCTCCATCCCACATGGTTTCTGCAGGCCCTGTGGTCCTCAGCTAGCTTTTTCATTTCCTTTTCCTTTTGGGGGGCAGATGGTCAAAAATGACTTTCATCTCCATGTTTGATTGTCAGAAAAATTAGCAGGATCCATCCCAGTTTGTGCTTCCATCTCTTGTCACATCATGATAATAGTGCGCAGTCAGCCTTTAATGCCCCTGTTTATATGGAGGCGAGTTCCAGGTAAGCCACTTAAAACAACTCTGTTGATTTCCCCCCCCCTTTCTTTCCCCTTTCTGCCAATGTTGCCAGGTGTCCTGTGATGCTGGTGGTGGGAGACCAGGCCCCTCATGAAGATGCTGTGGTGAGTGATAGCACCAATCTCGTGTGCGTGTGTGTGGTGCTTTGTTTTTGAAAGCTCCACAGCAGTGAGAGAGAGAATGCAGCTGCTGGGTTTTCTGGTCCCCCCAATCCCAGTGTACAATACCAGCAAGCATTCTCTCCCCTATCTGTGCCTGCCTTTTGTCCTCACACTCTTTGTCTGTTACCAGGTGGAGTGTAATTCCAAGCTGGATCCTACCCAGACCTCTTTCCTCAAGGTAAGCAGTGACCAGCAAACTTCACCCACCCGATTTTCAGCACTCTTCCTCTGCCACAGTTGCAATTCATGGGTTAGGTGGTCCAGTGCAAAATTTCTGCTCGTGGCTGAGCTCTTGCACAACTGGAAACACAAGAAAAAGACTGTGGTCGCCACTTGCACTAAACCAGACTTACTGTATTCCTACTTGCATCTCTTGTGCAACTAAGAACAGAGTTCTAGGATATATGCCGGGTCAGCCCTGGTTAGTATTTTGGATGGGAGACCACCAAGGAATTCCAGGGTTAGTATGCAGAGGAAGGCAATGGCTAAACCATCTCTGAACGTCTCTTGCCTTGAAAATGCTATGCGGTCGCCATAAGTTGGCTGTGACTTGAAGGTACTTTCTACCACCACGGGATTTATAGGGACGAAAGTGCTGGATATCACACAACCTCTTACGCAAGCACAACTGCACTAAATCCAGTTATGTTTCCACATGTGCATTGCCCATGTCCCTCCAAGTAACTACCGTAGCATCCTGCTTTCTTCCTGCATCTCTGCAGGCACTTCTTCAGTGGTGTATTCCCTAATGCTTGGCTTAGCCCCCTTAGTTGCTACCGTACCACCCATCTCCAGGCCGTCTTCCAATTCATATGTCTTCAAATCTTTTTTATTTTATTTGGGGGGGAGGTCTTTGCGAAAGTGATTTTCCATGGAAGGGAGAACTCTCTTTTGTTGATTCTGTTATTTGTTTGTGTGCATGCATACAACGGGATGGAGCCATTTTCTTCTGGCAGATTTTTAGCAAACCCCCCCCCAATGTTCCCTCTAAGCTGAGTTAGTGTGAGCTAGCTCGCAGTCTTTTAGCCTCCAGCTCACACATTTTTGTCTCGGCTCAGGAAGGAGGGTTCCAGAGCAAATTAATTTATGCAGTAACCAAATCACCTGCTCACAACTTTCATGCCAGTAGCTCACAAAGTAGAATTTTTGCTCACAAGACTCCCCGTTGCCTTCTTTCTTCAGGTTCTACCCATTTATGTTTCTGTTTTGTGTCTTTCAGATGGCAGATTCGGGGGGACAACCACAGCTGACCCAGGTGAGAAGGACAGAAACAAGTTGGGGTGCAGAAGGAAGGTTCTGAGCAGGGTTAGACCAAGCGTACTCCTGGTGTGCTTTGTTAGTCCGCCCTGTGGGTATCATTCTTAATGCTTCCTTCTTTGGGTAGATCCAAACAGCTTTGTCATCTGGTTTCCCTGAATTCCACTCCAGAAGACAGCTCCCCTTCCACATGACTTTGCTACCTTTATCTTCCATGTTCATAGGCAGTAGACCTCTGAAACCTGGTTCCAGGAGGCAACATGGGAGAAGGCCTTGGCAGGATGCCAGACTAGACAGACCACTATTCTGATCCAGCAGGGCTCTTCTTGTCCGAACGGCAGGCTTTTTTGGTAGAGAAAGGGGAGCCCTCCTCCCTTTTCCATCAGTGGAAAAGTTGGTTGGCTCCAACCACTTCTGATCCTCCCTATGGCAGGCTTCAGAAGTTTCTTTCTTTCTTTCTTTAGACTTTGGCCCACCCTTCCCCCTTTAGACAATGATGAAGGAAGTATAATATAGCTTACACTCAGGTAGGGTTGCCAAGTCGTTTATACTCACCGGTGGGGGACTGTCCCTGGGCTCCGGGAGTTGCTGTGGGATGTGCACCTGCATGTCACAGGAAGGGACGCACAACATAGAGCACGTTGGGGGCGTGGCCCCGATCGGCAGAGGGAAAACCATAGAGCCACGCCGTGATACGGGGGGCGGGGTTCCCCGCGGGGCCCGATTCAGCGGCGGCAGAAATCGGGCCTCCAAAGTGGGGGTTTACCCGCCCCCACTTGGCAGCCGTAACTCAGGGCCTAATTAAATGTGATGGCGTGCATGTGTGTGTGTGTGTTTAAAGGTATTTTGGGAGGTGGTTGAGAAGCAGCAAAGGGAGGGGCTGTGAACCCTTTCTGCGCCCGCTGTCCTTCCCTTGCAAAGGGCTCTTTCTGCGACCACAGTTCTGACACATGCAGAATTTTTTTTTCTAGGGTCGCCAACTTCCTAGAGATCTCCTGAAATTGCAACTGATTTCCAGTTTACAGAGCTCAGTTCCCCTGGAGAAAATAACAGCTTTAGAGGTGATGGCGTGCATGTGTGTGTGTGTGTTTAAAGGTATTTTGGGAGGTGGTTGAGAAGCAGCAAAGGGAGGGGTTGTTAACCCTTTCTGCGCCCGCTGTTCTTCCCTTGCAAAGGGCTCTTTCCACGACCACAGTTCTGACACATGCAGAATTGTTTTTTCTAGCCTAAAAACTTAGCATGCAGACCTTCCTGTCCCAACAAGGGTGTAAAACCAACGCGACCAAAATTAGCTGCCCACCTCCGATCGGGCTTCTGAGTAGGGTCGCCAGCCTCCTAGAGATCTCCTGAAATTGCAACTGATTTCCAGTTTACAGAGCTCAGTTCCCCTGGAGAAAATAACAGCTTTAGAGGGTGGGCTCCGTGGCGTTGTGCCCTGTAATCCCCAGGCTCCACCCCCAAATCTCCAGGAATTTCCCAACCTGGAGTTGGTGACTCTACTCCTGAAGCCACCGGCATGCTTTATTACGATTCCTTTGTGTCCTAGCAAATGAACCCCAGTATTATCTGGGTTTATTCTTTATAGCGCTTCAGAGAGGAAGGTCACACCACGGTATATCGCCACTTGGCAAACGGTTGCCCGTTTGCTGTGCTTTTATGGCATGCAATTTAATCTGTAAGATGATGAGAAGATAAGCAGTGACTACATCTCTGTAATGGTCTCACGTACTTTTGGCCGCATAAAGCAAACATCCCAGGCAGCATATGTTCCAGAAGATGAATCACTGCTCGGTAACAGGGACAGCTATTCCTTCGTAAACCCCATACTTAGATGTTTAGCTAACAGATTAAGACAGTTTGCTGGTTGGTCTTACAGGGAGACCATTTCCACATCTTAAACTAGGTCTTCTACAACATTCCAGTCACAAGGAATTCGTATGTTAACAACATAAAAGAAGGCATGTTGGATCAGGCCAATGGCCCTTCCAGTCTAACACTCTGTGTCACACAGTGGCCAAAACCCCAGTGCCATCAGGAGCTCCACCAATGAGGCCAGAACTCCAGAAGCCCTCCTACTGTTTGCCCCCCAAGCACCAGAATACAGAGCATCACTGTCCCAGGCATAGTGTTCCATCTATACCTTGCAGCTAATAGCCACTCATGGACCTCTGCTCCATACATTTATCCAATCCCCTCTTGAAGCTGTCTATGCTTGTAGCCTCCACCACTTCCTGCGGCAGCTTCCACATGTCAATTACTCTTTGAGTGAAGAGGTCTTTCCTTTGTTCTGTTCTAAGCCTACTGCTCATTAATTTCATTGAGTTTTCCATGAGTTCTTTTATTGCGAGAAAGGGAGAAAAGCACTTCTTTCTCTGCCTTCTCTGTCCCATGCATAATTTTTTTCATTTGTAATACTTTAATTTTTTGTGTGTCATTTTTATTTTGGCAAAAATTATGTACAAGTAGAGGAACGGTTTAAATCAACAAATATACAGTTAATAAGAAACCCTAACAAATGGTGTAAACTTTAATATTTACGCTCCCGTTTGCTTTTCATAAAGGAAGGCTGTATTCATGTTTTCTTTATTTTGATTGTATGTTGTATGAATGCTTCAGAACCAAAATAGCTCTAGAAATAAACACAGGTGTCCTTCACAGCACCACATGTTAGAGAGCTGGTATAGAGTGGTGGCCAATGTTCCCTCTAAGCTGTGGAGTCTTGTGAGCAAAAATCCTACTTTGTGAGCTCCTGGCATTGAAGCTGTGAGCGAGCGATTTGGCTGCTGCATCAGTTAGTTTGCTCTGGAGCCCTCCTTCCTGAGCGGAGACAAAAATGTGTGAGCTGGAGGCTAAAAAACTGTGAGCTGGCTCACACTAACTCAGCTTAGAGGGAACACTGGTGGTGGCTAAAAGAATGAGCTGTGATTCAAAAAGTCCTGGGTTCAAATTTTGCCTCTGTTGCAAATCTATTAGGTGGCCTTGCTTGGCCTTACATCTACAATATAGCACTCATATTCGCCTACCTTACACGACTATTGTAAGGATCTCTACAACGTTATGTTTGTGGAAAACTTGAATCATGAAAAAGTGTGGTAGCAATGTTGCTAATGCAAGTATTAATTAGCCATTGCTAATTAAAATTTCCACCAGTTAACTCACCTGTTGATTCAAGCACTTGAAACTTGCCACCCTACTAAGATTTTTAATTTTTCTAATAGTGGAAGAACTTTTTACCTAAAACATAAATTGGTAGTAGATACTTCGAAAACTACCACTGAAAAGAACTAAATATTTTAAACTACTACATGGCTGCCCTTAATTGTCGTTTTCTCTGCAAGACAACTTTTCATAAATTAGGGATTCCACTCCTCCAAAAATCCCAAGCGTTAAAAAAACAAAAACTGAGAGAACTGTATCTTGGGAAGGAAGGAAGGAACCAAGCAGCCTAGTGTTGTAGAGCAGTTTTTCCCCTGGTGTGTGCATAGCTTTCATGCATGCTCTGTTTTGTATCTCTTTTATCCTTCAGCCTGGGAAACTGACGGAGGCCTTCAAGTACTTTGTGCAAGGCATGGGATACAGTGAGTATTGGATCCTTAGACTCTTTGTCCCTGTATGCATTACTGTGAACATTGAATGTCATACTTGATATCATCCCCAACAAGGATTCATGGAACACCAGTCCCTCTGCATTTCAGATGCATAGCTGCTGGGACTATTGGATCCTGTCAGTGATGCCTTTCACACACGAATGCAATAACACACTCTCAGTCCACTTTCAATGCTCTTTGCAACTGGATTTTACTGTGTGAAATGGAAAAATCCACTTGCGAACGCTAGCTAAAGTGCATTGAAAGTAGATTGGAAGTGCGTTGTTCAGCCCCCACATCGGTGAGACTGGGTGGTTGCTAGGGCCGAAATTGGTGACGAGTCTTATGGAACCCGTGCTGCCACCTTGGCTCTTAGCAAGTCTGAGGCCGTGGTCACTGTCAGAACTTAGTGGTAGAGCATCTGTTTACATGCAGAAGGCCCCAGGTTAAGTCTTTCATCATCTCCATTTGAAAGGACCAGGCAGTCAGCAATACAGAGGACCTCTTCCTGAGACCACGGATAGCCACTGCCAGCCAGAGAAGGCAATACCGACCCTGATGAACCAATGTTCTGACTTGGTATAGGGCAGCTTCGTCTACACCACGGTAAACTGAGCTCTTCTCGCAGAGCAGACCAAGACTCCCTTGTGACAGCACAGGTCACCCTGAGTCCTTCTTTCAGTTTGTACATCGAGTCTGTCCCTCAGCTGCATCCACACAACAGTTAAGGGACACTCTTAGGCTACGTCGCCTGAGGCATCCCTGAAGCCGAACCCATCCCTGACCAGAGACCAGTGGTGCATTCTCACCCCCCGAAGTGTTATCTGAGGTATTTTTTCCTGTTTCTCCTCAGTCCCTCATGTACTGGACAAGAAACTGAGTCAGGGGTCAGGTACCTTCTGTGGCATTTCCCCCCACCCCGTCCCCTGGCACGCTGTCCCCAACCTGACTACTCACCACCACCTCCTCTCCGTGACTCCCTCACTCCCGTATGCTCCAGTAACATTACACACACAACCCCCCATCGAGACACCAAATTGTTTGCAGTGATGGTGAGCAAGCAGAAACGGCTTAATTTGGCTTTTTTGCTGTGCATCTGAGTCAAGAAGGCTGGTGGCGTGCCTTTTTGCTTTTGAATAACAGCATCCCAGGGCCAGGCCCGGCCTGTGCCAAAACCGTTCTCCCTTCTGCACCATGGAAACCTTCGGTTTGCGTTCCAAAATAAAACTGCTCACATTATTAACACGTTATGCAAATCTTCTCATTATGCCCAGTCTTCATCAGTTTGCACCCTGTATCCTGCATCTGGTATTTGAGATTTTTCAGACTGGGGGGGTGAGGGGGGCGCGCCATAGTGTCCGATGTCTTTTTTTGGAGGGGGGTTGGAAAGAGAGAAGAGGGTGTAAAGGACTGTGGAGCAGTGATCCCTCTAAGCTGAGTTAGGGTGAGCTATCTCACAGTTCTTTAGCCTCCGGCTCATGGATATTTGTCTTCGCTCAGGAAGGATGGCTTCAGAGCAAAGTAATTTATGCAGCAGCCAAATCTCTTGCTCACAACTTTAATGCCAGTAGCTCACAAAGTAGAATTTTTGCTCACAAGACCCCACAGCTTAGAGGGGACATTGCTGTGGAGTGAGATGTATGACTTCAGATTGCGATGTCCAGGGTAAAACGGGTATCCATGCAAGAAGCATAAACGTAATGTTACCTTCTTGCCGGCTAAAAACCTGTGACGCGGCCCTTCTCCTCCTCTGCCTGTGCAGGAGATCCCTAAGGGCTTCTACGAGACGTCACCTTCCTTCTCCTCCTTCCCATGGTCAGATCTCAGTTCCTCCCATTTGCTCTGGGATTTTCAGCGTGCCACCAGCAGTTGGTTGAGGACAGGGAAGAAAGTGAGGGCCCTCTTGTCTCGTGAAAAACGAAAGCTGGGAATGGCAGTCTTGAAGGACTCCCTTGTAGTTCCAGGTCCCTCCCTGCTACTCAGTGTTCTCACTCCCGCTTTGTCTTACGTGTAGCCGTGGAGGCCGAGGGTATCATAGACCTGGGGAATGTCATCACCTGCTCATGCGACTTCAGAGTAAGGCCTTGGGATTGGAACGCAGCTCCGTCACCTGCAAGATCTTTATCTGATTCTGCCCCTTTTCTTCTCTCCTTTCTCCCCACAGTGGCCTCGTCCTGCATGACGCGCCTGTCCCGCTCACGCACCGCCTCTCTGTCCAGTGCCGCCTCGGGGGACGGGAACCGGTCCCGCTCGCGCACCCTGTCCCAGAGCAGCGAGGCAGGGGCGCCCCCGCCTCCGGCCCCCACCATGGAGGTGTCCTGCTGAGCGCCAGGCCAGGGGACGAGACCGCCTCCCACCTCTGAACAGGACTTCTTCTGCTATCCCACAATGCACTCCGGCCACTGGGCCGTGTGACGATCTCCCCTAACGGTACTAAACATCCAGGGAGGCCCAGATGGGATGCAATGTACTCTCTCTCTCTCTCTTTTTTTTTTAAAAAAAGGCAAACCTTAACCTCCCCCCCCTACCTTTTCTTCTCAACCAACACATACACACCTCTCTTCAGCCCTACCTACCCCAAATCCCCCTCCCTTCTCTCCCGTAACCTAATACTAGTTCCAGCCCCCCCCACCTCAGTTTCCTTAGTGACCCTCAGCACTGAGGGAGACACAGATGGAGTAGCATCCGCTTCCTAAACGATTAAACTCTCAGCACTTATTCTGATTCCTCCTTTGTTCTCCGCCTCTTTGCTCACTTAGTTCCCTTCATGAGGGAAGTCTGGATTATTTGATTTTTGTTGTCGTTCTGTCTAAACCATAACTAACCCTTGTTCCCTCCCCCCAATTACTGAGCGATAAATGTTCTGGGAGTCATCTGGATGGGGATCAGTTTGTGTGGCTCGCTTTCTCCTCCTTTCCCTCCCAGAACGTACGGAGGCACTAGTAGGACTTTCACTAGAGCCCTGATGAGGACCGGTATGGCTGCTGTCAGGCCAGCATAGGGCACCCAATATAGGAAGGACTCCTGTCTTCCATCCCCGTCTGGCCTGGTCGGTTCTAATTCCTTTATGGGGCTTAAACATAATTTCATTCCCTGCTCTCTCTCTCTCTCTCCCTCTCTCTCCAGAAGAACCATGATCCTCCCCCTCTTTCCACCTCTTTGGGTTTATTTTATAGCCCTTACCACCCCATACACACAAACGTGCTTTTGTTTTATACCCCCAAATCCAGCCCTCTTCCCCCACCCTCACAAAGGCTGCATTACTTACCTGTTCTCTTTCCTGCCCCCACTCCCACCCCCATTAAAACTAATCCTTTGTAGATGGTAGCGGCTTTGTGGTGTGCATGTATGGTTTCCGCTAAGACAGCAAGCGACTTCTGGCGGTTAGGGGCTTTTTGGGTGGCTGGGCGAAGCTGAACTGGGGGGAGGAGATTTCTCTGGGGGAGGGTGGGATTGTTCCTCTTAGGATGTTTCAGGGGAACGAGGGGGGTGGGAGATGCTTGAGCCAGACTACGCTGTTGTGGCAGTGCCAGGTACAGATGGCAAGGGGCTGCAGTGTTTTTGGCTTCGTATAAGGAGATGGGTGGAGGAGACTGTGATCAGTTGTGATTTTCTTTTCTTTTTTTTGTCTAAAAGTGCTGACTGTAGTGCGTTCCGGCTGCTGGCTTTGAGCAGGGCTCTTGTGGTGCCGTGGAGGGTAAACATTGGGTCAGCTTCTTGTGTAAAAGGGATTCCAACTGTACCAGTTCATTGATGTTATTGGCTGTATTTTTAAAAAAAGAAAAAGAAAAAACCACACACACACCTTTAAATGTATAGATAGTTTGGGTTTTTTGGCCATGTTGCTCTCTCAAAATGAAAGAAAAATTATTTGGATCAGCTATAGTGAGAGTACTCAGTCTGCAAACTTTTGAGAGACACAGAATGCTTCATCGAACTGCGGAGACAAAGAGTTCTGTGTAACCCGAAAGCTGGAATACTCCCACCTCAGAAGACGACGGTCCAATTAGAAAGTCACCTTACTTATTCCTTAAACCTGAATAGGCGCTGGGGGTGAGTGGCTCAGCAGCCTATGGTCAAGGGGCATTGTTTGGAACGGGTTCCAGCTGGAATTTGTAGCTCCCGCATGTAATGGGATCCTGTTGTATTTGAGAATGTGTGAGCTCTGTTTTTTTTTTCCCCCAGAGCAGTCGATGGTGAATCCCGACTCTAACAATAAAGTCTCTAGAGGAATGAGTTGTTGCTTCTTTTCTCATGGTCGAGGGGGACGCAGTCTGTGCCTTCAGCAGACGCCAGGTCAGAAGCAGGTTCCTGTGCAACTGGGGAGGTTCCCTGAGGACTGTGGCTGTAAGACTTGACTCTTAAGAACGGTTGCCCTAAGCGGGACAATCGGTAGTTTCCTTCAAGAGCTCATCTTCTTGCATTGGCCAGCTTTTACAAGCAAGGTGTCTCATATTCAGCACTTACACAACACTGTCTTCTCCATACATCTGTTGAGTAATCCTCACACCAGCCTTGTGAGGTGGACCCGTATCACTGTATTATGGATGATTTGGTGGTGAATTGGTGGCCGACAGGAGAGTTGAATGCAAGTCTTCCGAGTGTGGCTCACATTCCGAGCCTCTGCCCCAGCCCCTGCTGTCCTTCCCAAGGAAGCTTGTCTGCCCCTCCCTTCCTTGAAGGAGCTCAGGGTGGCTCACACAATTCTCTCCTCCTCTGCTTTATCTTCACGACAACTCTATGAGGCAGGCCAGCTTGAGAGACCAAAGGTTTCCCTGACAGGTTTTATGGCTTACTGAGCCTTTGAACCCAGGTCTTCCTGGTCCCATCCACACTAACTACTCTGCCATACAGGCTGCCAAGAAGAATACACAGCCTTTAATTCAGACCTAGTTTATCTAAAGCCATTCTATCCAAGACATCCAACTGTCTCCCGTGCTCACAAGCAGGAACGGAGAGTACAGTCTCCGATTGCTTAACAATTCTGCCTCCGGAGAGTAGGAAAGTATCACTCCTCGATCCTTCTCGAACAAATTGGATTGGACTCGTACTTCGGATTTGCGTGGTGTACAGAACGAGGCATGAAAGTAGGGTCGTCAGTAGCTTCTTCCACGTTGCAAACTAGGACAGCAGAAGGAAATGTGTCCGATCTTGAGTCCACTGACTTCAGCATAACTGCAGGGGGGATTTCAGTGGTAGGCTCTCCCTTCTCTGTGTTAATTTCTTGTGTGTGCTTCCAAATAAGCTCCCTGCCCCCTCCCCATCTCCGACTTGGTATCGGCCAGAACTCCTGTCACCTCTTTCTGCATTTTTTTGTGAATCACCTCTGAAGTGCATTGAGAAATAACTTAAAGGTGCCCGAACCGTGGAAGGGCTTTTTGAAACTCTCTTCCACAGAATTCCCCCAGCAGATGTGTTTTCCATCCAAGCTTTCCTCCCAGCAGGACTGACCTTTTACCACGAGCCAAAAAAGTGTAGATCTTTTTTCCCCCTCTCCCTTTGCCATCCTGTGCCAATAAGCAGCTTTTGAATCCCAAAGGCCACTGAATGCTGCCAATTCCCCCCCCTCCCCCTCTGAAAGGAAGGGTCAAAGCCCCTTATTGTTCATCTCGGGTACAAAAGGCGTATCCAGCTCTGTGGAATGGAGGAGTTTTCAACCTGTCTGCACAAAGGCCTGGGCCCTCATCCCAGTCTGAGCCCATGTGACCGCTTCCAGTGTTTTCACTCTAAGTGGAATTTGGGTCCTGTCTCCACAACAGCAAAGAGAAGCTGGAAAGCCTTTTTGTTTTGAGAGGCAGCCATGTGAAGAGCTGAAATCGGAATACAGTGACAACCGTCTCTAGGCCCGAAGCCATCTTGATGCCCAGTTGGGCTCGGTCCTTCTTAGTTAAGCTGTGGAGAAACAATCCTCAGGAGCTCACAGAATGCCTAAGTTTGGTGTAGTGGTTAAGTGCCAGTTTGGTGTAGTGGTTAAGTGCGTGGACTCTAATCTGGGAGAACCGGGTTTGATTCCCCACTCCTCCACTTGCACCTGCTGATGTGACCTTGGGTCAGTCACAAGCTCTGGCACAGCTGTCCTTGAAAAAGAGCAGTTTCTGTTAAGAGCTCCGTGTGCGTACTCTAATCTGGGAGAACCGAGTTTGATTCCCCACTCCTCCACTTGCACCTGCTGATGTGACCTTGGGTCAGTCACAAGCTCTGGCACAGCTGTCCTTGAAAAAGAGCAGTTTCTGTTAAGAGCTCTCTCAGCCCCACCCACCTCACAGGGTGTCTGTTGTGGGGAGGGGAAGGGAAAGGAGTTTGTAAGCCACTCTGAGGCTCCAAGTGAAGGGCGGGGTATAAATCCAATCTCTTCTTCTTCTTCTTCTAAGTGCCCATCCCGCTGCATGCAGTTACATGAGATCAGTTGAACCAGAACGTAGATGCATGTCCGGATACACATCCAAATGAAACGAACACGGCAGAGAGTGGGATGGGCACCCTAATGTGCATCTACTTGATACCTGTGGTTGTGCATCACAATGCTCTAGCAGTACTGCGTTACTTAAAATTGGGTGTACATTTCACATTCTGGCAATGCAAGTTGTGTTGTGTGGGCCTAGAGCTGCACTAGGATGCGGGGATTGGAGGAGGAGCTAATGAGGAATGTTTCCCCCAAGGCTCAGCGAAGGGACCACGGCTTCAGCACCAGAACGCGGCTGCCGGTACGTATTTGGATTTGAATCCAAATGGGCAGCCAGTTGAAAATAATGCAGTGCATATGCACAGGAGGCATCCACAGACATAAATCAGTTGCACCGTAAAATATGCTCGCTAGCGCAGTTGTCATCTGCCTATATGGCAGTAGCTTTCTGTTGGGCGTATCACTGAATGCATGTTCCAGCTATAGCGCGGTGTAGTGTTTAAGAGTGTGAGGCTTGGATCAGGGAGACCCGGGGTCGAATCCCCACTCTGCCATGGAAACTTGCTGGGTGACCTTGGGCCAGTCACACACACTGAGCCTGACCTACCTCACAGGGTTGTTTGTGCAGGCAAAATGCAGGAGAAGGAAGCAGGATACAAAGGAAGCAAATAAATCCAAATGTGCATCTGCAGCTATAATCTGGCATGACTATTCAGGGTGCTGGATCCAGCCAATATTTTTTGGTCGGTCTCACCCAGACGACAGCCTACCTGGCTTCTGTCCACGTAGCTCCCATGATCCCCAGCGTCGGGGCAGCTCACAGAATGCCTAAGTGCCCATCCCGCTGCATGCAGTTACATGGGATCAGTTGAACCAGAACGTAGATGCATGTCCGGATACACATCCAAATGAAACGAATACGGCAGAGAGTGGGATGGGCACCCTAATGTGCATCTACTTGATACCTGTGGTTGTGCATCACAATGCTCTAGCAGTACTGCGTTACTTAAAATTGGGTGTACATTTCACATTCTGGCAATGCAAGTTGTGTTGTGTGGGCCTAGAGCTGCACTAGGATGCGGGGATTGGAGAAGGAGCTAATGAGGAATGTCTCCCCAAGGCTCAGCGAAGGGACTACGGCTTCAGCACCAGAACGTGGCTGCCGGTACGTATTTGGATTTGAATCCAAATGGGCAGCCAGTTGGAAATAATGCAGTGCATATGCACAGGAGGCATCCACAGACATAAATCAGTTGCACTGTAAAATATGCTCGTTAGCGCAGTTTTATTTATTTTATTTATTTTGTGATTTTTATCCCGCCCTATCCAGTAGCTCAGGGCGGCCTTCATCTGCCTATATGGCAGTAGCTTTCTGTTGGGCGTATCACTGAATGCATGTTCCAGCTATAGCGCGGTGTAGTGTTTAAGAGTGTGAGGCTTGGATCAGGGAGACCCGGGGTCGAATCCCCACTCTGCCATGGAAACTTGCTGGGTGACCTTGGGCCAGTCACACACACTGAGCCTGACCTACCTCACAGGGTTGTTTGTGCAGGCAAAATGCAGGAGAAGGAAGCAGGATACAAAGGAAGCAAATAAATCCAAATGTGCATCTGCAGCTATAATCTGGCATGACTATTCAGGGTGCTGGATCCAGCCAATATTTTTTGGTCGGTCTCACCCAGACGACAGCCTACCTGGCTTCTGTCCACGTAGCTCCCATGATCCCCAGCGTCGGGGGGGGGGGGCAGAAGGGACCCCTCTTTTGTTTGTTACCAGTGGAAAAGCTGGTTGGATTTAACTCGGGGTTAAGCATGTGCGAGTAGAGCTGAATCGAGAGGGCTAGACTGCTTCTTTCCACTGTGTGATATTAAAAACAATTTCTCTAAGACGTCTGAATCCTTTTCAAGGACAGAGTTAAGCACACTTAAAACCATTCAAATCATTGGGCCTAAGCAGGCTTAACTCTGTTCTGGATAGCAGCCTGGAGATTTAGAATGCTCCCTTCAAGTGGCAGGGAAATGACATCCCCCCCCCCCTCTGTCGCTGTGTTCCGTGCAAAGGGGAAATAAAAGGTCACTTCTTTACCAGTTCTGCCTTCCATTAAAAACATTCATACGTGCGTATGAAATGTGAGGAACGGTGTCATGTGGAAATCGCAGCTGTCAACCAATTAAAAGAATTTTTTAATTGCCGAACCATCTGCTTTTTAACCAATGAATGGCATTTTTGTGCTACCAGCACTTGTGTGTACACGTTCTTGAGGAAGATTAAAGCAAGTGTAAGATAACTTGGAAGTCACTGAGAAAATGTAACATTTGTCATTAGAAGGATGTGAGCGATTTTCTTCTTTCCCTATTTCAGCAACAGTTTCAAAACATAATAGTCCCCTTCCGTTACGGCTTCTCTGACTGAAAGTAAGAATGAGCCACAGTCCCAGGTGAACTGATGTAGGAGCAAGCTGTGTGGAACTCAGTGGCACGTTCTTCTGAATAAACGTGCCGGCTTGGGTTGCAAAGATAGCAGCCCAAGTGAAAAATGCCTTTCAGCCATTCCTTGGCCCTTGATGGCTTCTGTGGTTAGTCTGCAATTTGCTTTCAGGCATTCGGACACGTTCAAGTAGATCCACTTGCTGTGACTTGTATTTACACCCTGCTTTTCTCCTCAGTGAAGACCCAAAGTACTTCGCAGCATTGTTTTCCTTTCCTCCAGTTTTTCCTCACAGCCACCCTGTGAGGTAAATTAGAGAGAGAGAGACTGGCACAAGGTCACTCAACAAGCTTTGACAAGAGAGTAAGGGTTTGATCCTGGGAACCCCCAGCTGTTAGCCTTG